TTGGATTTGATTTATTCTCCTTTTTGTAGTTCCTGAGGTGATAGCTTAGATTACTGATGTTAGATATTTCTTCTTTTTAAATATATGCTTTTTAAAAAATTTTATTTACTTATTTGTCAGAGAGAGAGAGAGAGCACAAGCAGGGGGAGTGGCAGGCAGAGGGAGAAGCAGGCTCCCCACCCAGCAGGGAGCCCGATGTGGAACTCGATCCCAGGACACTGGGATCATGACCTGCGCCGAAGGCAGACGCTTAACCAGCTGAGCCACGCAGGCATCCCTTAAATATATGCTTTTAGTGCCATAAATTTCTCCTGAGCACTACTTTTGCTGCATCCCACAAATTTCAATAAGTTGTATATTCATTTAGTTAGAAACATTTTAGAAATTTCTCTTTCAAAAAAAGAAATTTCTCTTAAGACTACAGTTGACCTTTGAACAACACAGGTTTGAACTGTGTGGGTCCACTTCTACACAGATTTTTTTTTTTTTATAAATACATCACAGTACTATAAATGTATTTTCTCTTCCTTATGATTTCCTTTTTTTTAAATTTTAATTCCAGTATAGTCAACATATAGTGTTATATTAGTTTTAGGTGTACAATATAGTGATTCAGCAATTCTATACATTCTCAGTGCTCATCATGATTAAGTGTACTCTTAATCCCCTTCACCTATTTCATCCTCCCCCACCCACCTCCCCTCTGGTAACCATCAGTTTATTCTCTGTAGTTAAGAGTCTGTCTTTTGGTTTGTCTCTTTTTTTTCCCTTTGTTCGTTTGTTTTGTTTCTTAAATTACACATATGAGTGAGATTATATGGTATTTGTCTTTCTCTGGCTTATTTCACTTCACATTATACCTTCTAGATCCATCCATATTGTTGCAAATGGCAAGATTTCATTCTTTTTTATGACTGAATAATATTACATTGTATCTATATACCACCTGTTCTTTATCCATTAATCTATCATTGTGTACTTGGGCTGCTTCCATAATTTGGCTATTGTAAATAATGCTGTAATAAACATAGCGGTACATATATCTTTTTGAGTTAGTGTTTTTGTATTCTTTGAGTAAATACCCAGTAGTGGGATTACTGGGTCCTATAATATTTCTATCTTTAATTTTTTGAGGAACCTCCATACTATTTTCCACAGTGACTGCACTAGTTTGCATTCCCACCAACAGCGCAGGAGGGTTCCTTTTTCTCTACATCCTTGCCAACACTTGTTTCTTTTGTTTTTAATTTTAGCCATTCTGACAGGTATGTGGTGATAGCTCATTGTGGTTTTGATTTGCATTTTCCTGATGATGAGTGACATTGAGCATCTTTTCATGGGTCTGTTGGCCACTCCGTATGTCTTTTGAGAATTGTCTGTTCATGTCTTCTGCCCATTTTTAATTGGATGATTTGTTTTTTGGTCTTGTGTAAGTTCTTTGTATATTTTGGATACTAACCCTTTATCAGATATGTCCTTTGCAAATATCTTCTCCCATTCAGGAGGTTGCCTTTAGTTTCCTTATGATTTTCATAATAACATTTTCTCTCCTGTAGCTTATTGTAAGAATGCAGTATATAATAAATATAACATGTGCAATATGTATTAATGGACTGTTTATGTAGTTGGTAAGGCTTCTGGCCATCAGTAGGCTATTAATAGTTAAATTTGGGGGAGTCAAGAGTTATACACAGATATTTGACTGCATAGGGGTCAGTGCCCCTAAGCCCCACATTGTTCAAGGGTCAACTGTATTTCTTTTACTCACGTGTTATTTAGAAGTGCATTATTTAATCTCCAATTATTTTAGGTTTTTCCAGCTATCATTCTGCTATTGATTTCTAGTTTAATTCCATTGTGGTCTGAGAGGATACTTTGTATGATTCCTATTCTTTTAAATTTATTAAGATGTGTTTTATGGCCTAGAATGTAGTCTGTTTGGGTGAATTTTTCATGTGTGCTTGAGAAGAATGTGTATTTTTCTGTTTTTGGAGAAATGTCAGTTTGATCTTGTTGACTGAAGGTGCTGTTCAGTTCAACTATGTCCTTTCTGATTTTCTGCCTGCTGGATCTGTCCATTACTGATAGAGGGTATTGAAGTCTCCAACTATAATTATGAATTCATCTGTTTCTTTTGGTAGTTCTGTCTATTAATAGAGTAGTGTAAGGACATGAAACCACTTGTACCTTTCAAAACTATGGTATGATGAACTCTAAGCAGAGATAATAATAGGGTAACCTTAGACTAAGCGTGAATATATTTGAATATCTTGTAAACTCATGTATGTCAGATTCCTAAATACTCAGTGTTCATTTTTTTGTTAATGTGCTCTTCTCAAACATAGATACCATCACATTTACCTTACTTCATAGTCTTCTGTCAAAGTAGTTTGACATTTCAATTAATTTAATGGATACTTAAGATTATTGTTGTTTTTAAAGTACTTGCCAGTTTTTTGAAGTAAGTCTTGTATTTAGTTCCTCTTAGTGCCTTTATTGGAAGCTCTTATCCATTTCCTTGAACCAGAAGAATCCCATTGCTATAAAGTTGTTAGGTTTATTAGTGCACCATTTTGATATTTAACCAGCCTCAACAGGACCAGAACAATTACTTTTATAGGTACTTTTCAGTTTAAAAAGTGCTTTCTCTTCTTATTTAATTCCAACACCCAGCCAGAAAGTTATTATTATATTTCTTTCATGCTAAAATGCAAATTTTTCATATCATAATACCTCTGAAATGAGAATGTATTTTACACTGAATGACATGTTATCATTTAATTGGTAGAGGTTTTTTTTTTTTCTTTTCTAGTTGGTACAAGAAGTAAAGGCTTATTTTACTAATCTGGAGTCTTAGATTCAACAAAAAGTGTATTACTATTATTATTATAGTACCAATTTGCAGATGAAGAAACTGAAGCTCAGAGGACTAAATGACATGCCCAGAGTCACACAGCTGGTACATGGTTAAGCTGGGAATGGCTTTTGGTATCAAGGGCTCATTTTCTTCCAGTGTGTCAATGGTTCTCGAGCTTTAATGTTACAAGAATTATCTGTGGAAATACACGGGCACCCAACCCGCTAGTATATGTGCTGCCTTAGCGAGCGCGGCACCCATCCTCTAGAAATTTAGATTCATTATGTTTAGGGCACAGTTTAGGAATATGCATTTCTTAGATGCATCAAGGTACACTTTTTTTTTTTTTTAAAGATTTTATTTATTTATTTGAGACAGAGAGAATGAGAGACAGAGAGCATGAGAGGGAGGAGGGTCAGAGGGAGAAGCAGACTCCCTGCCAAGCAGGGAGCCCGATGCGGGACTCGATCCGGGGACTCCAGGATCATGACCTGAGCCGAAGGCAGTCGCTTAACCAACTGAGCCACCCAGGCGCCCTCAAGGTACACTTTTAAGTATCAACTCAAACTTTGACTTGCTGTTAGAAGCTCCAGTTGATACATTGCTATTAATAGCATTGCCCTTCAAGTGTTTATTATTGATGAGGATAAAGTCCTTAGTGTCACTAATAAGAAGTCTAGGAAGCCCGAGAACAAAGTTATGTGGGGGCGCAATCCCATAAAGGTGTTTTGGCAGACATCACTAATCTATCACGGAGACTGTCCACAAGTGTTTTCAATACTGAGCTTTGGGCTGCAACTTTCAGTCAAGCCTATCTGCTACGCCCTGCTGTGGGTCTTTTGAACAGTGTATGTGAATTTAAAGGGAATAAACTTTCCATCATTTTTTTCGACAGTTGACTCTTCATAAATGTCACAGAGAGCTGCTTTTGCGTTTTGTTTTGCTTTGCTATATACTGCGGTTGTCTAGGGTGTGAGCTGGTTGCTGGGGGAGGGCTCCTTCCTCTTTGAGTAAAGCTCTTCGATAGAGCTTTTGTTGACAGTGCTGCAGCCTGCCTGGTGAACAATAGCACACCCTTGGTTGCCTCTGCATGATTTTGTGTGTTCAGCTTTTACATTAATATCATGTAAAGCTTGAAATAAGATTTTAGTTGGGTGCATAAAATTTGAGTGCTTTCTTCTGGGTTTTCACACATTGCAAATCTTATTCTACTTATTATTAATTAGCTTGGGAATTGGTTTGCTCTTTAATACAGCAAATAGCTCCCAGTAGTTAAGGAAGTGTTAATTTGGGTACTCCAGGGTAGACACCTTCATTTTTTCCCCTTAATTTGTCACATTTTTGTTTCATCCAGAAAATGATTTCATATCATAATTTCTAACTTACCTCTTACATGAAACTTCTACATACAGGACAGTTGTGTTCTCACATTACTAATATCTCATTTCACTTATTTTCCAGACTCCATTTTTTTTGCATTTACTTTTATTCAACTTGGTGCTTTTATGAATTAAGGGATAATTTTGTAGTTACCGATTTATTATTCACATTAAATTTCAGGTGATAGAAATAAAACCAATAGATATCGTTATTTTGGCTGCAAAACAAATCCAGATACTGAAGTGCAACCTTAAAAAAGTAAGCCTAATTTCTGTGTTGTTTTTCAGAGTTACTCAGCACTGGCTTATTTGGAAAATACATCACCATTGTCAGCCTTAGCTTCTTGGAGGCCTGGGGGTTGGGAGAGTCAACCTTACATTAAATTAGGCTTTTAGAATCTTAAAATTTTCCTTTTGAGTCATCTGACTGTAAATAATAATACAGCATTCTTGAATTAATACAGATGATTGGCCATAGAAATGATCTGAGTGTGTGGTAATAGTTTTAAAACTTGAGTCTTCGTTTAGGGGCGTCTGGGTGGCTCAGTCGTTAAGCGTCTGCCTTCAGCTCAGGTCATGATCCCAGGGTCGTGGGACTGAGCCCCAAACTGGCCTCTCTGCTCCACGGGAAGCCCTCTTCTCCCTCCCCCACTCCCCCTGCTTGTGTTACCTCTCTCGCTGTCTCTCTCAATGTCAAGTAAATAAATAAAATCCTAAAAAAACAACAAAAAAACCAACTTGAATCTTCGTTTAACTTCCAGACTTCTTTCCATAGGCCATTTTGCAACCTGTGTTGGCAGCAGAAGATTTTACTATCTTTAAAGCAATGATGGTCCAGAAAAACATTGAAATGCAGCTGCAAGCCATTCGAATAATTCAAGAGAGAAATGGTAAAATGTTGAATTTAGAAATCTAAGTGCTAAATGGTTTTTTGTTTTATTTTAGTTTTGACTATTCTGATTCTTTTATGGTCTTAAATGTAGCTGCTTTGTACAAATGTATTTCAGGTTTGTTGACTGAAGAGATTCAACAATGTAAACTTTCCTGATCAGTTTGTGTTGGCTGTCTCAAAGCAGACCAGAATTTGATTTAATGATGTTTTAAGTTGATTTTTCTTCCTAGCCATTTTATTTATGAAATTCAGTATTTTTGAATTGTCACAGTTTTAGTTACTGTTGAGAGAAGGTGACTTGTCTTTTCCTTCTGGCTTATCGTTGTTAGGACCTTTGTAGGAGACAGGGGCTCTCCAGCGTTAGTGAGCTTTGGAAGTAGTTGGAGGGCTGTTGAAACACGTATGGTTGTTTCTCTCTTCTGATTCAGCAGGTCTGGGGTGGGACCGAATGCTTTGCATTTTTAACAAGTTCCCAGGTGATTATGCTGGTCCTGGGACCAAACTGAGAACTGTTCTAGGGTAATGGGCAGCTATGATTGCACTACCATCAGGGAAAGGAAAACAGAACTCAAAGCCCTAGTAGTTCTCTTTAGTTAATCTGTTCCCTGACTCTCTTATCTAATTTCAGTTTGTCCCTAGATTTTCTTGCTTTTGTTCCCTTCTTGTGTATTTGAATTGCATTTGACATCTTGACTCAACACATCTGAGTTTCTAACCATACTTCTTATTGTACTATCTCCTTTTCAATCCAGATTCAATCCAGATTCTTACCTCCTTTCAGATTTCTGGCTCTAGTAACCTACCTTAATACTTATGTGTTCCTTTGCTCAGTTAACTACACTGATATTCTTGACCATGCCTACATACTCTTTAATGGTTTGGCAGCAGGACCTTTTTAAAAATTGTTTCTTGAAGATGTGAGAGCTATAGTTCAGTTGTACTGAACTGTTTGCTTTTAAGGGTCTGGAACATGCAAGAAGAGGCTTCTGTTGTTGCAGGGCAAACATCGCAGTGTTGCAGGGCCCTTGTGGATTCTCCTCTCATTAGTATGATGAGAGTAGAGACTGTCTCTTAGAGCCCAACCACCACCATAACCATCCTGTAAAATCCTGGGATGCTTTTCACAGCAGGTGAGAGAGCTGATGTCTCTGAGTAGGAGATAACATCACCCTAACCCTGAACGATGGATGACACTGTGCTGTTACTTTGGTGTAAATAAGTTTGGAAAACAGTCTGTTTGTTTTTCTACCATAGTTTACTTTTATAAAATCCTTTTCTCTGAATGTTCCTGAAATTATGCTTTATTTTGACCTATGGGTTAGAGGATGTGAATAATTACTTTATGTTATAGTTAAAATTGTTTTGGGGGGATTAAAGCATAACTAGTGAACTTGATATTGGCACTCCATATAGTTTTCAGTTTGGAATTTAACTGGAAACTCATTTAGATTTTAATATAAAGGGAACAAATACATATAGCTTGTATCAGCCGGATGCCTCAGGCTGCCATTAGCAGAAAAAAACCTCAGTGAAAATGTCCTAAGCAGTAAGAAACAATCCTCTCACAGAACAAGAAGTCCAGAGGAAGAAAGGAAGGAAGACAGTCCATGTTGGTTAAGTCAGTGACTCAGTGATATTATCAAGAACGCTGACACTTTCCATCTTTACACTCTGCTATTCTCAGGATCTTCTCTCCTGATTGCACTCTAGCTGCATTGGCTGAAACTCAACAACATCTCCTGAAGAAAAGGGGTATTTCTTCCTGTACATCTCTTTTTGTTAGCAAGACAAAACTTGCTTGGAAACCCCCAGGAGCTTCCCTCTCAGGTCCTATTGGTCAGGATTGGGGTCACATGTTTTTCTTAAACCCTCTGGCAGGGGAAATGAGACCATTATCATGAATCATTCTCCTGTGGTGGGTGGGGTTAAGCCTCTGAATACTTGGCTGCCTGATAATTAAACAAATCTGGCTTATATTAGCAAAGGAGGATGAGGCAATGATGCGGAATAGAGCTGGTATCAAACCACTGGGTGGGACTGTTGGCTTACATTTAAATAAAATCTAATACTTAGTTTGTGCCATAGCATTTTTAATACGTGCATTTAAGAATGTTGCTTAACTTAGATCCAGGAGTTAGTACCTGAGAGCAATGTTGATTGTACTCAAAACCGCAGACCATTTGAAAATTGTCTTTGTGGTAAGAAAAATTCAAAGGCTCTCTGGATTCTTTGTTGTATTTTATCAAAGAATTTTTGGGAAATGCAAATCAGAGCATTATTTTGATGGTTTTGAAGTATTGCATACTGTTGCATCATTCTTTCCTTAGTTCTTTTCATTTTCCTCAGAAATACTATCAGAGAATACTAATTGTATATCTTTTGACTGGAAAAAGTGCAAAAATGCACTTGATAGATGTCAGTTTTCTGGTTGTGATACCAAACTATATTTTGCAAGTTGTTACCATTGGGGGAAAACTGAATAAAGGGTGCATGCATAGCATCTCTCTGTATTATTTCCTACAATGGCATGTGAATCTGCAATTATCTCAAAATAAAATGTTTAATTAAAAAAGGTATTTAAACATCAAGGGGATTAGAATAATAAAGGTACTTTAATTTAGAGCAGATCCAAAATCCCATAGTCATCTGTGGATAAAGAAATGGAAGGTAAAAATTAAGAGACATGCTACTGATGTTGTGGGAATATACTAATTATAGATACGAATAGAACACTGATTACCAGTCTACCTGCTTCTTAGGAAGATGTAGGTAATAAAGTAAATTCAACCAATACTTAAAATTACTTGCCATGAATTATTATTTGCTTTGGGCTGAAGTTGGTATTGCCCTGGTTTATAGTTATTGGCCCAATATCTGGATAGAAGCTCCGAGGGCAGATTGTTTTATTCATCTTTATGTTCCCCCCAAGTGCTTAGCACCGTGCTTTTTCCCAGGTAGTAAGCAGGGCCCTTTTCAGTAGCATTTGCTGTAGTATGAATGAAGAGTATTAACATGCTGTTCAAATTAACAAAGTATTTTATATTTTGTTTTGTAAACTCTTTTCACACTTAAGGGATACTTCTGAGAGCATACTTTTTTTTTTTTTTAAGATTTTATTTATTTATTTGACAGAGTGTGAGGCAGGGAGAGAGGGAACACAAGCAGGGGGAGCAGCAGAGGGAGAAGCAGGCTTCCTGGGGCTCGATCCCAGGACCCTGGGATCATGACCTGAGCCAAAGGCAGACGCTTAACGACTGAGCCACCCAGGTGCCACCGAGAGCATACTTTCATTATTAGGAGCTTAATGATTTCAGTGGTCTATCCTCAGTATACGATTAAGGGAGGTGATAGTTTATATTAACTAATTTTAATTGCTATATTATGTTTATTTTTAGTAGGTAATACAAATAATTACTAAGAGAATTTCTAGGTAAAACTGGGGTTTGGGTGGGGCTGATTCTGTAAAACAAGAAAAAGTAAAAAGACCATAATTAGAAAGATAATAGCTTAGAACATTTAAGTGAAAGCCATTAATAAACTGATTTGTACTTCTTGGTGAGTTAGAATAGTGAGCAATAAATGTTTTCAGTTGAGTTCATATTCTTTTGTGTGGTCTTTGATTTTGAACAGGTGTATTACCTGACTGCCTAACAGATGGTTCTGATATGGTCAGTGACCTTGAACAGGAAGAGATGAAAATCCTGAGGGAAGTTCTTAGGTATCCTTCTTTAATTATCTTTTGAATGAATCATTAGTAATATTGTGACATGATCTGTATATGTTTTCTATCCTCAAAATATTATGAATTAGTGAAAAATAACTAAATTCTCTACTAAAAACAATAAAAATGATTTATCATTGTATTTGTTTATAACTATGTATAACATTTTTTAATGGACAGAAAAAATGATTTTCAAGTGCCTCATACCATATCAACCTAAATGGGAGGGGCTTCTTCCGCTCCCATCATGGGAACAGGAAACCAGCCAGTAGACCCAGCCTGGTGAGCAAGATAGTCCATGGCTTCTGGACCTTGGTATTAGAGGTGGCTCGTTCCAGGTGTGTCTAACAGCAGGAGGCTGGACATTCACACTCCACAGACCAAATAGCTGACAGGGTGGCAGGTAACCTGTAAGGGAAAAGTGGACAGTGGGAAATGCCCATCCCAGATGACTGTCTTGCCGGTCTCTTCCTTGCCCCAGTTACATGATTCTCAGCGAAATGCCTGGCATGGAGTGTGCAGGCCACTAAAGGAACATTTCTTTTTTTCCCTTGGGCCTGTTGTCTCTTGACCCCTCTGGGAATTTCGGAAGGGAGCAGCAATTGCAGCACCTAATTTTTAAAATCTCCTTTGAGAATGTATAGGCTTAGGGCAGAAGGATACTTGCAGCCACTGTATCACCTGCAGAATGGGGACTTGTTCTTTGGGAGTCCTTCCTTTCTCTTCAACTCTAACCATACACATGATCGTCTTCTAGCATCCTGTAGTTCTACCGCTATCCACCTTGTCCTCAACTGCAAAGCAGAAGGGAGGACAAGGCAGGATGGTGATTAGGAGGATGGGTCTAGTGGGGAACTATGGCAAGAGCTCCATGACTTAGTACTTAATTCCAGGGGATTTGAGTGGTTGTGGGGAGGGAGGCAGGTGTGCTAGTAAACCCAACCTCTTCCGGCCAGATCCTGTTTTGCACAGCAGGGGCAGATGGGAGCCTGAGACAACACAGAATGCTTTGAGTTTATAGGTGTGAAGAGTTAAGGATATTGTTAATAGGTTTAGAGGACTGGTAGTTTTGACTTGAACTGGTTGCTTCTGTTGGTTGATTAGTGGTCTGAAAATTAATCACCTTGTACTTTCAGATTTTATTTTCTAAGGGCTTTCGAGGGGAATGTACTCTTTAAAGTAGTAGAGCTTAGTAATGAATGAGAGTTGACGTGGCTGTTTTCCTAAATCAGAGGCCCTCAGTGAGCAGTTTACAACAACTGATAGGGCTTTGGCATAGTGATACCAGGAGAACTTTGAGATAGCTCTGGTGGCACTGGAAAAACTAAAATGAGGGAGAGATGGAGCTTATCACTTTAAAGTGAGAGATCAGATTTGCCATTCAGATTTGGGTTTAGGATTTCAAATCTGTAGGTCTTTGTTCAGCTAGGGGTCATTCCCATTTCCAGAAGAAATGGGTGAACCTGTAGTTTATGTTACTGTATTATGCTGTATATGCCTATTATGTGTATCTTTCTCTGTTGATTCTAAGCTGCTTTAAGAAAAGCCTGATTATTTCCATCTTGGTTTCCAAGGTTCCTTGCACATATTGTGAGCTTAGTTTGGCATGTTGCTTGTTGGATATTTATTCTTTGACCAAAAAAGAAAATTTACTTTTCTACCTTATTTTTGTATATTTCAGAAAATCAAAAGAGGAATATGACCAGGAGGAAGAAAGGAAGAGAAAAAAGCAGGTGCCCACAGAACATATTAATATAACAGAAGTATTTCATTGCTGTTAACCATTTTTTTTTTTTTTTAAAGATTTTATTTATTTGACAGAGAGAGACACAGCGAGAGAGGGAACACAAGCAGGGGGAG